GCCCGCCCGCTCGGCACGGCCGGGGGGCCCCGCGGGGAGGCCGGGGCTGGCGCTGCCCGGCCCGGTGATAAACGACCTTTTCGGTCACGTTTTAAGCAGGTTAAAGCCGCCTCTCTGCGGTCTCACTGCTGCAGGAAGAAATAGGTCTGTCATTTCCTTAGGGAAATTAACGCCATTAGTTGTCAAGGTAAGGCTATCTTAGGAATATTTAGTAGGTTTTCATCATTTTTATGGTTTTAATAAGCTGCTGAAGCCGAGCGCAGCCAGAGCTGTAACTCATTTCTCTGAAGTTTTATACAGTAGCAAAAACCTGGATAACGTTACTAAGATACAGCGCCAGCTCCAGCATCCTCTTTAGGGGAGAGGTAACTAGAACTATCTTTCCAAAGAGTTACAAGGAAAGGATGAAAATATCGTACTTTTTTTTTCCTATCGAAATTGTAACTGTGCTGTAGAGTTACTTCTCAACTTGCAGAAACAATTATCAGTTTATTTTTCATGGTGGTGCAGTTCCTCTGTGAGCAGCGCAGAGCACAGCACGAGCCTCCTCCTCCCATCCCAACAACTTCTGCTGTCACATAAGTGTTTATGTAGCCTAATAAATTCATGGCATTACATGCACATCTCTTGCCATCAATAGGGCTCAAAATACAAAGATGATTTATGAAAATTTAATTTTCAAACAGCAATGTTTTAGTGCATTGTTCCAGTAAATATTCCAATAAATTTTAGATCATTCATTATTCATGTGTGCAGCTAAAAAATTGTTCTGCATTTCCAAAGTCTGACACTCACTACAGAGGACAGAGAGCTATGAAATCCTGTGCTGTCTTCCTTCTGAGCAAAGAGAAACAGCCATACAGAAGTGTTTGCATACCATGTATGCAATTAGCAAAGCTCTCTTCATCAGACAGAAATATGCACAGGATGCTTGGGTGGTTGGACAGGACTGTAATTAAGTAAGTTAGGTTTTTGCAAATCCAGAAACCCAAGTAGTAAGAAACAGTGGCCAGACCCAGATTTTCCATGTCTCGAGAAGACTGAATTTTATACAAAAGAAATACAAGGAGAATTAAGTGGTCCATCTTGGACAGGACCAATGTCTTGCATAACCTTTGCTATCGGAGATTGTTTCAACCCTGACACACCCCAGGAGTGGCTCTCTGCAAATATTGTACAAGCAAGACAAGATTCATAGGAAGAGGTAATACCTTTTATTAGACCAATTAGGATGACTGGCAAAATGAAACGGGAATTCAAGTACCTAAAACACCCTTCTGTGAAATAGAATTCTACTCTTCAAACAAAGCAAAAAATTCAAGGTCAAATACAGGTTGGAATCAATTGCTCAGAGTTGAATTAGATACATGTCACATCATTTTGGAAGTACAGGTCATTGTTTCCCGAAGACTAGAAGGGATGTTAATAGGAGGCAACAGGGAGATGGTAAGCTAGTTATATCCTTGGGGAAAAAAGAAAAATAGGCAGTTTATAGCCTATGGGACACTGAAGGACTAGTAAAGGAGGAGAGGGAAGGGAAAGTCTGTGCAGGAACACCAGTATTGAGTCTGTGGGTGTTGAAACCCAGTACATGTCCCTGCAGACCTTGTCCTGCCTGTAGACCAGGCTGTCAGAGCCAGACCTTTCACTGCTTTATGCATGTGTCTGCCTGAACAGAGACCAGCAGTCAGTGAATAAAGCCAGGTACACTCACAGGACAGGGGAGCACATCTTGCAAAGATGACTGTTTCGGGGGCTGAAGACTTGCTCAAGCAACATGTTGCTGCAAGCAGGATGTTTCACTGTCTCTGCTTTAGGGAGTTTCTTTGTGGTCCTGCATGATCTACAGTGTCTTGGACTGCAGGTTGGAAGTCTGCATAAAGGCAGAGTCAGCGTGTTTGCTTATCTTCATCTTTACAATTTCTAGGAACATTGGTATAAGCTCACATCTACATTTAGACTTCCCTGATTTTTTTCTCTTACAGTCTTTCTGAGCTATACATTTCCCCACTGTAAGGGAATTCTCAACTGTAAAAGAAAACCACAGCTGTCATAGTGCCCCATCCATGTTTACACTTCAGTTCATTGTGAAGGATGCGATGAGGCTGGAGATGTGTGGCCAAGCACACGGCTACGATGAGTGCCAGCCTGGGGCTGTACCTGACAGCACTTGGGCAGAACAGCCTCTGTGCTGGGGGGTAGGAGAAGTGCAGCCGCACCACAGAGATGGAGGAGGTTTCACTGTTGCCACCTCATCCCTTTGCATTCCAGGCAGCTCAAGACAGAGGAGAAGTTGGCTGCTACCGGTACGCTTAGCCAACGGGAAGGCAGTGCCGCCTGCAACAGAGTACACACGGAGCATGCTTTGTGGTATTGTTTATTTAGGAACTGTGAGTAACTACAGCCGTAGTGTTCTCATCTTTGCAATTCTGATGGTTTAACAAACTGGGAGAACATTAGCATATTTTTAGTAAGGTACAAAATACACCCCGTTGTTGCCTAAAACATTTTTAAAAACGTGAGAAAAGCTCTGTATGCTCTAAATCAGATTCAAAACCTTTCTGTATAAGGAATTGTGGCAATACTGTGTTTAGTATAACAAGAGGTTTTTATCAATTGAAAAGGAAAAGACATGCTGGCAATCTGAACTTAGCAACGAAGAGTAAAGCAGTTAAAACCCATTGTGTCAGCCACAACAGTTGGGCTTTGACTGCAGAAGAGCAAATCATATGAAACACATACACAACCAGGTAATATCAAACAACCTAAGGTTGATATTGTACACACCTGTAGTAAAGTACACTGACTACTTAGTGGTGAGGATTTAAGGTAATGTTTTTTTTTTTAAAAAAAGAGGTAACCTTTGAAATGCAAATGGTTGCACTTTATGCACAAAAAGTGTAAAAGAAAAAGAAACACTTTTGGAATGATACATAGATATAAGACACACTGGTTTTGGATTATGCATCACCTTGAAGCCTCTGATATTACCTCTGAACAACAACAACAAAAAAAATTAAAAAGTGCCAATACTGTGAAAGGAAAGCAAAGTTACTAAGTCTGAGTGCATTAACCATTTCTGAGAAAAAAAACCTGGATTTTGGATTTGTTTGTTTTGTTTTTCTGCATTTTTTAAAAAAATGCAACAGCCTTACTGGTGCAGGTTTAAGACAAAAACAAGACAGTCAAGCGCATAAGGTAGAAATAGGTCCTATATAGGTTAAGATTCTTTGGAAACTGCTAAGTATAAAGGAGTTTGTAATCCAGGCTACTATCTTTTTGGCTACTCCAAAAAACTGTGGGAGTTTCCAGCTTGTCATCAGTTGAAATCTGTTTTGCAATCACCAAATAAACGCAAGTAAAACTTTAACTAACCTGGGATTCCATTCAGACACGTGCACATAGAAGTCACTGTTTGTGCAATAACCTGTTTTTTTTCACAGCAGCATATATATGAATCATAAGTCATTATTAGACTGAGCAGAACAACAGAAAATATTCTCAGTCTTTGTGTTTTCAGTCTGTTTCTTAAGTAGTCAGCTGTGACTGCACTGGAGTGACAGGTTCTATAAGGGAAAGGTGACAAGGTGTGCTGGTTAAAAGCAAGATCAAAAAGTATCTCAGGAATGTTTAACTTCAGCCAGTATTACAACGGCACTAACAGCGCACTGAGAAAGCGCAGTAAATGTGTTTGGAGTTAGGAGTGTGAAATTCTGTTTAAAACAAATGAAAAATGAACCATACCAACATACAAATTGCAGTGCTGGCTGTGTCAGACCTTCCCTTATAGAAGGTACTGCTCAGGGAGCAGCCTGTTCCTTAGGACTGAAGAGATTCACTGTGTGTCTGGCAAATGATTCCTTGTAAAGTAGATCTTGGGGAGCCAACTTAGCTGCAGTTTTGGCTGAGGAAAGTGATGGGGTAGAGCAACGAGCTCAGTAAATGGACTGTTTTTCTTTAAGACCTTCAGAACATAACTGTAGTCTTGTTTTCCATACATCTGATTTTCAAAATAGATTGGGCAACTTAGTTGATGACTTGCTTAAAAGAAATCCAATCATGCTAGCAACTTAGAACTGCCTGCTGATTTGAATTAATGCCCATACATAAAGCAAACAGGTATCAACTGATCATGCTGAAAGAACAACCCCCCAAAGACCTACGTATCACACAAGGTGCTTTTGATAACTTGGTTTTCTGAGCCTTATAAGGAGAGTCTTTAAATATATTTTTTTCGTTTTTTTTTTTTCTTCGAGCCTTGTTTCATTCTTCCTCCTCCTCATCTTCATCTTCTCCTTCTTTTGCCATTGTTTCCACAAGGAGTTCTGCGGTGCACGTGGCTTCCCCAAGGCTGTTAACAGCTTTGCAGGTGTATTTGGCATCATCGTCCCCACATACTTCAGAAATAGTCAAAGAACAGTTCCCATCCTCATCATAATCTATCTGGAAGTGACGAGACTCCTTGACAGGCTGATCATCTTTGTACCACATTACCTCAGGGTCAGGATAGCCTGAAATGGTGGAGAGAGAACAGCAATTGCAATGAATGAGTATTAACTAATCTGTAATTACTTTAAACTCGAATTCCCCATCTGTGTATGGATATGCCAATATGTTGATATACAAATATTTCATTGAATTCTTTTTAAAATAAATGTAGATGATGTGAGGCATTTCACATTTACCTGAAACAACTTCATTCTGAATAGCAAAAAATTGAAAGTTGTCACTGAGGTACTCACTAGATTCCAATTTCCACTCCTTTTGCAGTGACTGCAGACACCTTTTTGTGTGTCCCAGACATCAGCCAGCAAAGGAATCTTAATAGTGTATTCGAGGCTTACCTTACGCTGCAGCTTTTGTGGAACTCACAGTTCCAACACTGGGATGCAGAATTTCAAGGGTTTTGGGCTACAACAATTTAATGTCCTTCTGAGGTTGCTTTGTTGTGGCTATTCTGAATCTTTCTCCTCCTAATCTGCTCCTTACACACCAGCCTGTCCCGTACAGTGACTGTGGCACTCCCATTTCCTCTTTGTGTTTGTTAGGGTAAGTGAGGGAGTCTAAGAAAAGCATTTGGATTATGCATCTCAACAGGAGTTTTGGAGCCTTTTATGAAGCAAATGGCTCTGCCATACTTGAAGCATCCAGAGCAGGGCCGTACAGTACGTCCTGGAGAACAATCCCTTATACAGTACTCTTGGCTGCTACAACAAATTGAAGGCTTGTGGTCTCGGCCAAGTTCTGGACTGTGATGGGAGGATGACTTCCCACTGAGCAGCAGTAAAGTGCAGGAATCCCTAATACACAACGAACGTTACAGTGATACACTGGAAAGTTTGGAACATCAGCCATGGTACATCCATTTTATTCCATGCAGTACTTATGCACATACCCCTCATGCTGAGCATCCATCAGCAACAATAATCCATCCTCACATCTCCGCTGTGAGGTAGGAAACACAGGCAGTGAGAGAGATTAGGAGCACAGAAACAAACAAGCAGAAGGTCAGTGAGGCAGTTTCTGAACCTCATTTTAAGATTAGAAATTGTCTAACTTAAACACATGCAGTATGGTACGACTCTATCCATTTTGTTTTCCTAACTTCTAGCTTTCATCAACAGCCGTGATACAGAAGGTTCAATCTCATTGCAGCAGAAGCTCTAGCAGCCTTGGCCTTCAGACTGTTAGGCTGATCCAGTCAAGCTCCTTAAGTGCCTTCCCATAAACTTATTCTTTATATCTGAATATTCCAGTCCGAGTTTTTCTTTCTTGAACTTGTAAGTTACAAAAACAAAAACAAAACCAAACCAAACGATGACACAGTATTTTCTAGATGTGACTTTTGTAACCTGTGCAATATTATTGTTACTTCTCAGGCAAATATACTGTTAGGGAATCATTTGCCTGTAATACAATGTATGCATGGCTTACAGTTGTCTTGAGGTCACCTGAGACTTGTCTGTCATTTCAGACAAGTGACTTCCTACTTACTCTTGGTTTCTCATTAAGATTCCCTAAGACTACTCTTGCAATTTATGGTACTACATTGCAGCTTGGTTTTACTGTTTCTTTCCTTAAAAATCATCCTACTGTTCCCACTTGCTATTCTGAATTAGTGATTCACACATTGACTCTTGGAGACAGAGTCAAGAAAGACTTGGAGACAGAACAAGCCCATGCAGCTACAAATAATTTGTTATTGCAACATATTCATGCTGTAGCATGCAGATATTGGTAAAGCAAAATGGCACCAATTCCACAATAATACAGAAAAAATTGAAAAAGTTAAACAACAGCACAATGCAGAAAGCTGGCAAGGAAGGAAAGGAAGAGACAGATATGCTAATTCAAAGTACCTTCAATTTTGCAGTCAAATCTAGCAGCACTTCCTTCCACAACCTCTATGTCAAGGATTGTTTTAGTAAAATATGGCTTTACATGGGGCTTTTCTTCAGCCACTTCTTCAAGGAAAGCATCTGGAGTAGAGCAAAGAGAGAGTTAATTATTTTACAGGTCATGTTCTCAAAAGATGCATTGTAATTTTTAATTACCAGATGGTAACGACAGCATCTTTTATTTCACTTAATTCAGTTAGGGTAATGAGACAGTGAGGACGTTCTTAGTTTTGTGCCAATCTTTTGCAGCTGGACAAAGATTCAGGCCATAAATAGAATGAAATCGACGTGCAGGCCACCACACTACAAATCATCTTTATTTTTTCCTTGACTTTTGGTAGTTAGTGGAGTAAACCAGTTCAACTTGTATCAGGCCCACAGTCTATGGGGATATGTCAAAATGACTTGCTTGACTTTCAGAAGTGTCAAACATCAGAACCTCTGATTGTTACACACCCAAACCCACATTTTAAATGGGGACGTAGGGGAGTAATTTAGACACATTATTTTTGTTCTTAAATGTCCCTGTTTGAGGAGCATGGTTAATGCAGAGTATGTCTTGGTTGCAGCAAGTGTTAATACTTTGTTGCTTGCTGGCTTGAATGAGAAGGCAATACATCACTGTAATCTTTGTATAAACATGCATTCCCAAACTGATAGAAAGTGCAGCTGACAAATCTGCCTTAATTTTTTGGCTTCAAAAAGAGAAGAGTTTACTGCCCGTACTTATGCTGGGGCATTTTGAATAGCAGAACAATATGAGAACATTGAATTTCTTATAGATTTCTTTAAAAAAAAAAAAAAAAGAGGATAAAAACAGAGAGAGAGTGAGCAGGAATAACCAACTTGATGATTGGTCTCTAGCATTTTGTCTAAAAGTTTTAAATTCACAGAGAGGTAAAAATATGGTGCAGCAGAATTCCTTACCTTCATTCTCTACTTTGTCTGCATTTATAGGGCTGGTAGGTGAGCTCCCAGAGGCCTTCCTCCCACTCATACCAGAAATCATTGCCATGGACGACAGTCTTCCTATTGCTCGGACAGCATGGCCTGTTTTCTAAGACATAACATAAAAGGCTTCTGATCAATCCAATCCAACAGGCATGTGATTTTCTGTAACAATCGTGCTTCGGACAAATTATCCGGGATCTCTGCAAACCTCGCTGGAATTGTTGGACAAACTGCTTATATATAGCTCTGTTGTTTTAGGAGAGACAGAGCAGGCTGGTCTGAATGACCAAATTTAGTTGCAGATATAAACTTCCCCTGATGAACTCATACCTAAATGAATGTCTCTGTTAGCTGAGGATAAAAAGCGCTGTGTGAGAGGAGGGCCAGTGAAAAAGCTATGTCCTGTTTAACTGGAACTTAACTCTGGTGGCGGGTGGCTCTCTCAATAGCCATATGGGCTGGACTGAGCTTCATCAAGGATGAACAACCAGCTAATAAGAAACGAATGAGAAAGTATCATATGCATGATGGAAACAGACCTCTGACAGGCTCGAGAATCAACCACCAGGATACTAAAATATGCTCAAACTACGTTGCCTCTAGTACCGACATTTCTATTTTTGTACAGTTTGCATGTACAGTAGAAAGTAAGAGGAAATAGAAGGTAGATTTACATAACTGAATATTTTGTAGGCTACTCAAAAGGCTGGATCCAGGATTTTATACCAACTCCCCTAGGTATCAGAACGGCACAGATGGACCTGCTACAACAGTTCCAGCATTAAGAAAAAAGAAGATACGGAGACCAAATACATCAAAGAAAATTATTAAACCAATCTGACCGAATCAATGAGAAGCTTGGTGCTCCAACAGGACAGAACTACTGGCTTAGGAGAATGAAACTACCACAACATGAGGTAACTGTAGAGAGGCCAGGCAGATATGCTTTTCCCTCACTGTTCAGGTTTGTTAAGGATAACATAACCCCCCAGGCCTAAGTGGCATGGAGAGAACAGGGAGGAGAGATGGTCATGCTGCCAAAAGAGTAGGAAAAACTGTACTTGAACCCATACGCCTTTTAGTAGCCTGAAATGGAATCATCACGTGTTGTACCTACGCAGCCGTGCACCCTCCTACTGCTTGCCCGTAGAAACCAAACCTGCTTTACTGCATTCATGCTCTGGCCACACTTGAGCTTTCACCAGCAGCAGAAACCACCTGGCATGACATGTTTCTGAGAATTATAAACATTAGAAATAAAGAGATTTATTAGGATAACTAGCCCAATTCTATGTCCTCTTCATTACCTGCCATTTTCTTCTGGCCATATATTTCTTCATCCTATCTTTGGACAGTTTTTTGGCTTCCATGGTTTTGGTGTCTTTTTGCAGCCAAGGATGCTGAAGACATTGAGTACAATTGAAACGACTCCTGTTTATATAAAAAGTGTAGTCAGTGTTGCCATTAACGATGGCTGAACCTACCTGCTTTAACATTATTTTGTGCTCTCTTTTCTGAGAGCTGATTTTTCTGTTTCCTAAATTCAGCAACATAGATCACTTGGCACTGCTTTCCCAGCTGTGCTTCCTTCATAAACACACTTTCACAATTTGTGTAGGTTTTTTTTTGGAGAAAACTGTGCATTTTTAAGTGTTAATAAAACGTTATAAAACAAAGCACAAAAAGCCATATGTTTTAGGCATGGAACACATACAGCAGAGCTACAATGGCAGTGATTCAGCTACCTCATGCTGGCAGAACTCTGTCCCAGATCTCCTTTCCTTCACTTGCAGAGATTTTCCCTTTCCCACAACTTAATACCCTCCTTCCCTGCAGCACTGAGCACTTAACAAAACAGAAATGTCCCAATCTCTAATCAAGCCACACCCATTCTTCACTTCAGTTGTGATACACAGGTAAATAATCCTCTGTTCTCCATCCATCTGATTTTTTTTTTTCCCCAATTACTAGATTTTTAGGAAAGCTGCCTGCTAAGAGGCACCGCGCTTAAAATTCACACCTGGAAATAAATCTGGCAAAATTGCAACCCATTCAGATCAAGACAGAAGATGTCATGCAGGAACCTGCGTCACACAACAGTGAAGATAAAATCAGCCACACAAAACCTCAGGCTGCATCTTGGCTGAGGGAAAGGAAAAGCAGATGAGCAGGCGATTAAAAGAAAGTGCTTCATTCAGACCCTGCACCCTGCGTGTAAGATAAACTGCACAGAGAGACAGGGGGACACACAGAGACAGAGAGACACAGAGCTCCTTATAAAGTATCGCCAGCGGTGCCTGCATCAACATGGAGATTCACAGTGGGGAAACAAGAATGACAAGTTCAGTTAAATGCAAACACAGAAAGTGTATCAAGTCCAGCAGCTTTACTTCATATCTTTCTTTAGTAGATTGCTGATAAAGTCCTTGGCATCATCAGAGATTTCATCAAAAGCCTCATCGTCGAAGTCCCATGTTGCGGAGGTAACGTTGGCTAGGGTTTCGTTGTCGTTGTCTCCCATGAAAGGAGAAAGTCCACTGACCCTGGGGATAGAACAGACAGACAGACACAAAACAAACAGTGTCAATTTGCAAATTATCAGAGGAGCAAATTAAAATCGTGTGTGACATCTCCTATGCTCTGCAGATCTTTATCAGTAAAAGGTCCCTTAAAAAAAGAAAGAGGTCTCAAAGCTAAATACAGATAGTCTTATGGGGAGGGAACTAGAATTTCGACTGAAAGGAAAATTTCTGCTGTTTCTTTCTCTTTTCCCAAGACATTTTTGAGGAGAGAACTAGAATTAGGTGAAAGTGGAGCATACTAATTTGCTAAATGACTTGTCTAGTTCTCCATAAATAATACTGCAATTTTCACACCAAATTCAGCTGAATAGTTTGTTGGAGTTTTTTTGGGTTCTCCCCCCCGGTGTTTTCAGAGTGACTTTAGTGCCTTTACTGTCAAACCAAGTTTTTTTTGTACATTTTATTCCATTTACTCCTGCAGAGAGAGCCCAAGAAGAAAGGTGCATCATGAAGTCATGAAATCCACAGGGCTATTCTGTAAACAAAACCACCCTGAGTTATATAGCCAGATAAAACAGCACTACATCACTGCAGGCTGCAGACTTATGCAGATGCATCAAAAAATAATTTGGTCTTTATGTTCTCAATCAGTCATGATGATGCATGAAATGGAAATAATACTCTTTTATAACTTAAGTTGAGCTTCCAAGGCTTTTTACTCAATATAACTGAAAAATTGCCAGCGAAAGGCAATTACAGAACATCATGGTGTCATTTTTGCAGAGTATCTTTCTCCAGTTGAGCATCATCCCTTGTTATACTGTACCTTTGTGCGTCCAGATACTTTTGATTCCTGTATATATCACCCTTTTAGTAAAAACTTTCAGGTGAAAGGTTGCTTATTCATTAGAACTACAAGTTATTCAGTTTTCCGGGTCTTCTTCCTGGCATGCAATTTACATAATAACCTATTCTTAATGAAATTTTACAGACTTTATTTGCTTTCTCTGTACAATCATGTTAACCAGTTACAACAACCAGTTACATTTTAGAAGTAGTACATTTTTTTAAAAATACGGAAATATAAGTGGAACATACTAGGGTTCTGAAAATACTGTACGTATATAATTCTAAATTAATGTTGTGATGCTACTGAATAACACAGAACAGACTGGCAGAAAAAGAGATTGGGATCAAATGAAGTGAGCTGCTGGATTAATAATATTAGAACATTAGAAGTTATTTTGTTACTAATTACATTCAAAATCTGATTTGGAATTTGTTCCTAAGGATTTTATTTCTATAAGCAAAGCAGAAACACACATTCTTTGAAGTCTCAGACAGAGCAGATACTAAATCCTTTACCATTTCTGGAAGTTGTGTGCAGCACAGCACAGTCTAGGATCTTATGTGTATACTGTGGAAATTTGCTAGTAATAATACATGAGATGAAGATAAAAGGTTTGTTTCTTCTCAAGCAGAAAGAGGTAAATCAGGACGGAGGTGTTTGATGTCTTACTTTCCTTTATATGGGGCACATTCAAATGCAACAATGAAGCATGACTTTGTAAATGTATAAGGTGGCATAAACCCATTTATGAATGTATAATAGGCAGGAGTTACAGAAAGATGAAAAATTAACGTACCAAAAAATGCTCCCATGAAACAAAGACTGCTCTCTGTCTTTGACACTTTGACACTTACTTTACCAGAAGAGACAAGGCTTATGCCTGATAGAGAGCTGCTATAGCTGCGGTGCGATGAGACTCCGTTCTGCCCTCATGCACATCAGCCATCGTGGCCAGGTAAATCGTTGAAACAAAATCTTTGCCATGGAATCCACAAAGCAATCCTGCAAGGCCTTAAACCTGTCTCCAATATTTAACCATTTTCCTATTTATGGCAATGTCATTGTTCCCTATAATGTTTTAGAAAGTGAAAAAAAAACCCCAAAAACCCAACTCATCCAGACTGCAGTTCTAAGTTTTGGGTTCCAGATACCGATTGCTAAACTGTCTCTTTTTTGACTATGTAGTAAGTACAATAATCTCTCAGCCAATTCATCAGCTGCTAGAAAGGCTCACATTTTATACAAATGAAGGGGCTGTGAAGTATTTCCTTAGTTCACTGTCAGTATAGGAGACGCATGTCTTCTCTTCATCCAGTTAAGCTTCCAGAGGACACACTTGGGCAGCCAGAGCAAGAACAATCCCATTTCCCTTCAATACTTGATCGAAGTATGGCAAAGGTGACCTCTGCACAGTGTTACCACAAATAGTACTGTGCAGCTCTTGTGCTGCGTTAGGTAATATTTTGGCCTATTTCCAGAGATTAAAGCTGCAGTATTGAGAGATCATTTCCATGCTAAAAAGACTGCTACAGATGCAGGGACATTGCTTCATGTGGGAACAGCACTGCTCCATGCTGCCGTGCTTATAAAAACATCCAGCTTTCTGGGCAAAGAGAGACTGCGTGTCACACACAGTGTCCGAGGGATGAGAATAAATAGAAGGAGATTAGAGAGGGAAAAACCCCTTTGATTGTTTTGGTTGGCTTTTTCTTTTTCCCCCTTTTTTTTTTCCTTTTTTTTTTTTTTTTCCAAGAATTGCAGGATTATTGGATAAAATCTTAAATGCTGTGGTAGGATTGACTCATCCCATGCATTTGGTAAATTACCAGATGGGTACCAGTTAAGCCTCCACTCACTTTGTCATTTCCAGACACCAGTGTAACAGCACTCATTCAAATGTTTCAATGAACCTATTTTCGTATTACTGAATGTGCTGCTGCAAATTTATAAGGATAAAATTATTTTCTCTCTCTACCACAGTTTTACACTGTGAATCAGTTGCCTTATCATGGAAATACTCGAAAGGAGAACTAGATCCCTGTCTATAGTCAGAAAACAAAATCCAGCAACTAGTGTATATTGTAACCAGAAATTCTTATCTTTAGCACAGATTTCATTGACCTAAGTCTTGGTTGTTCATTTCTCAATAGCCATTTAAAGTAATAATGGCCCAACAACCCTTTTGACAGATTATGGAAACAATTTAGCATTGGAATGCTGAAGCTAAGTGATAAAGATGAGCTACCGCTCCAGAAAATTAATATTGAGCTTACACTGCAAAGTTACTGTTAGACAAGCAGCAAGTTGTTTACTGAAAACATTTTTCCAGCTACTTAACCAGGCATCTTCCTGGCACATCAAGAACCATTTATTTAGAAAATCCTTCACAGTGTCCACTTCTAAATAAAGAAGAAAGATATTTTATCCTGTAGAAGTTCCTTAACATTTATCGGTCTGTTCTAACAAAGCTCTGAGTGCAGATTTAGAAATGTTAAGATCAAAAGGGTCCAGTGTGGTTGCCAGTCTCACTGCCTGGGTAACAAACACACTTCACTTAGAAATCTTTGCATTAAGACTGTCACTAATCCAGGAAAGATGAGTTTGCTGCATGTCTCAAAATGTGAGGCTCTGAGCATTGCTCTGCAAGCAGTGCTCGCAGCAGCAACTGATTTGGGTGGATGACACTGAGCTCCTCCTTACAATCTTTGCATTGTATCAGCAGTGAAAAAAAGTAACAGATTTCAGTAAGAAGAGTACTATCTGTTTCTGATAAACCTGTGCAGGTCACGTCAAATATGCACATGATAATGCCTGCACCCTGGAGATCATGTCATAATTTACTTCTTTTACAAGTGAAATAAAACAAATAAATAGTCTCAGGCTACTCTGTGGGGGACATGCATCTACTGGACAAAACCAGCTTTTCCTTAGCTGAGGGCTGACCGACTCCCACATCAGTACTCTCAAGGAAAACACAGACCACTGAACTCATGCAAAGGAAGACAGCTCAATGCAGAAGCAAGGGTGTTACTCTGTTCTCATCCTTGGTTTATGTGCCCAGCGGATTAACGAGGAATCACAATTTTACATTGCCACTGAACAACTTATTAATTTCCTTTTGAGCAGTACAGTCATGACATTAAAGCCCTCCTAGCTTGCTTTATTGAAAGAATAAGGAACGCTCTCTCATCTTCATATTAACAAGGCTTAAATTTTTAATATGAGATGGAGCCAAGTGTAAACCAGCAGCACGAGTACTTTGCCTTATCAGAGTCCCGAGTCAGCACACCCAAAAGGTGTACAATGCTGAAAGATCTTTCAACCAACCCAAACTGCCAAACAAGGGAGGAGTAACAGCAGTGATGAATTACACAACAGGCAAAAAGGAAAGGGAATGCTTGAAGAATCGGGGTGCGTGTTATTAGGAAGACACTGAAGGAAAATAATATACAGAAAGATCAAAAAACCAGCCTACGGATACGGCATATTAAAAAATTATTAGTTGACAGAGATCACCTGCTCTGAAAAGATACACGCTGCCTGGCACTGGTAAAGCAAGAACTAACGGAAAGCAAGCAGAGGTTTGAATGAGCCACAGCCAATTCCTCACTGGAACTAGTCAGATTCTATAGTGACAGAGGGAAAAGGGCTATCCACTTTGAATGTACCTACATGCAGCATGGAAATCTTAGACCAAAAGTTGGTTTGAAATAAAAATAGAATTTAGAAATTGTTTCAGATTACTAAATATTTGAAACACCAACTATCCAAATGGATCACCAGAAAAGAACTAGAAATAGAAAACACATCAAACAAATTCAGCAATGCCCAGAAGAATAAATGGGACAGAAGGAGCTGGAAAGAATTCAGGAGGTTTAACCGTCATTAGATAAAGATTATTGTAAATGTAAAAAGAAATGCTGAAATAGACATAAATGGAGAGGATATACACGAGCTGTATTATTTGTAGACTGTTAAAGGCAATAAATCAAGTATGTGGGACAGTACTGCGATGCAGAACAGGACAGAGAGCAAGATAAAAGTGGAAGATAAAAAACATGAGGTGGAGAATACAAACAAGGAAATTTAAGGAAGAACAAAGACTGAGGAAGAGACAGGACTGAATAAGTTATCTAGAAAGATTAAAAGGATTTAATGTGTAGCTTAAAAATGCGGAAAGGGAACCCGTGAGCTGTAGGATGGAATTAAGTCAGTCATGCCATAAGGAAGACAGATGCAGCATCCCAATAGAGCGTGCAGTATCTGTACTTGGGCCTGCACAGCAGAAGGACAGGAGAGAGGTTTCACTGCAGGGTTTTGGAGGAGCGCTGTCACCCTCTTTCCTACTTGAGATTACATCCTACCCATTTATTCTTCTGCAGGGAAGACCCTTCACCCACTGAAATCTCTTTAGCAGCTCTTTGCTAAACCTGGTTTGTACTTGTTGTACAGGACATAATGGAAACACAGTCTCTTTCTAGGCAGGTTACAGGTCTCTCAACACTAGAATCTTACCTTAAAAGAGGAGTTATGTCAAGTTATGCAATTCCATGCTTTCTGCTGCTTCACTTAGGACCTACAATAGACATGGGAGCTTTGGGCCATCAGCTGCCTGTAGCAGACCTGCCCTTAAGTCCAGTGCTGCTGCAGGGCTCGCCTCTTCCTTCATGGCCCCACTCACCATGTCAGGGGCAGAGGGGATGCCAATGCTAAGTTACAGGCACAGCGATGGTATGTGAGACTGACACCAAACGAACGAGTCTTACACTTCGGCATGAGATTGAGCAGTTCTGAGCTGATAATCAGAAGAGGGAAGCAGAGCTACAACTAGAGAGAGATACAGTTCTCAATGACTTTTATTTGCATTCTGTAAGGATGATGTGATGGTCCATTTTAGATAATGGCTCATGGTTGTGAGTCTGCAAAAATAGCTGGGCTTGAAGGAAGTGAAGACAGATTGGGAGCCTGTCACTCTGGGGTGGAGAAGGAAAGTCCAAGCGATGACTCACAGGTCTTCCCTAACTTCTGTTACTTTATTCTTATCGCAAGAAAGACAAAAGGTGATTATTACTGTTAATCATTATTGCAGCGATAGCTATGCATCAAAAAGATTTTCATTGCATTTGGGTAATGTAATTTTCTCCTCACAAGGAGTTAAATGAGCTTAAAGACACCTTAGCAAACAAGTAATTTCATAATATATTTCACAAGGCATATCATATCGAGTTATCTGAATCAAGTGTAACATCACCCAATCCCATCAGCTGAACATTACGGCATCTAAATATCTTGCTTCTGGTGGCACAGAGAACTTGGAAGAAGCAGTTCTGCCACTGCTGGCAGACTGGTCTTTTGCATGACATTTCACCTCTTCTCCATCTGTTTCACCTGCTCCCTTTGCCTTGTCTACTTAGACAATGACGGTGTTCTCCAGCACGTACCATACTGGAGCAGCAACCCTGGTTGCACACCTTAGGAGCACACACAACTGCTGTCACTGAGTTTTGCCTCGGTTGTCTGACATGTCACCGCTTATACTGCAAACACACAAAAACTCACATATACTTTGATCGCAAATGACAGCAAAAGACGTGAAAGCCCCCAAATGTGCGTGTCACGCTGCGGTTAAGGGTTGTTCCCTAACGTGTACGAGGCCTCTAGGGGGCAATGTAGCCTTGAGGGAACTCTTGGGT